TCGAGAGGCACTTCTAGTTCCTAAATTATTAGTTCGCTATATGGACGACTGCTTTGCTATTTGGCAACACGAAAAAGAAAACCTGGGGAATTGTCTTGGTTTATTGAACAGGATCGATGTGAAGACGAAACTCACCATCGAGTTAGAAAAGGAAGTTTGTTTGACTTTTCTTCATGTCTGGGTTTGCAAAGAGGGGACCAGATTATGTACAGATGTGTATAGGAAATCTACATATACAGGTTTTCTTTTGAATTTGTTCTCCATCCACAATAATGGGATTAAAGTAGGAGTTATGAAGTCTATGATAATAAGGAGCCTGCGTCTGGTAGGAGGGCTTGTTGACAACTATTTTAGAATATTGTCAAATAGAATGAAGGAAAATACATGTTTGGGGGTAGATAAAAAGATAGATCATTCTACCAGGATCCGTATGCTGCCATCGTGCAATCTGTCGAAGAAGATATGCGAATTATTAAAGGGGCAGGACATCAGAACCATTTATAAAAATAGAATACCACTGTCCTCGAAACTGCCTTCTTTTCGAGGATACTCTGACCGGCTCTCCAGATCGTGCAGCTGCAAGATTTTGTGTTCATGTGATAGTGCCTATGTGGCAGAGTCCTGCAAACCCATAAATAAGAGGCTACGGATGAAGCGTGAAACACATATGCCTTTCACACTTGTTGTGTGAGTGAATTGCTCTTGAAATGAGGGTGATGTGAGGGTCAAAACCAGATTCGAGTCCAATCTAGTCTCATTCTCTTGCTCGGTTGTATTTCTCGTTTCCCTCGCACTCTCTAATCCTATCCATCAGCCACAATTAGTCGCCACTTAACTTCCAACACTCATTCTCTCTATTCAAGGTGTGACTGTTTTGTGGATTTGTATCACTTTCCTAATCTTCCATTTACTGGTTGAAATAGACCTCAAATCCAACCAGCTTTTGACATGCTGTCCTGCTCTGACGACGTCTATCACATGACGGACTAATGCTCAGAAAAGATTCTTCCGAGTCGCAGGACGATAAGCCGAGGATCTGCAGCTTCCGGTGGGACCAGCTTACGAATGCTTTCCACTCGCCTCTTCAAACAGAATTAAAGGAACTGCAAAATTAACTTACTAAGAACTTTCAACTGCTTTATCAAACAAATTGAAAAGTATGTCAGTATCGAGTTCAGCAAATGTTTCCTCCAAAATAGACCTCTCTTTGAAACTTGCTGGTCGCTGACCCTTGTATCTCGGTTGCTAGTGTCCAGAAAAACAACTTATTTCTTAATGCGACTCGTTGTCGACTAATAGTTTGCTTCTTCTTTTGAATTACAATGAGTTGTATGGCCGGTACCAAATTCATCGGAGGCGGATTTCACGTCTGTTGAGCACAATTAAATGCTACAAGCCTTTTAAATGCCGTGTTGTAACGGGCGGCCATTTTAATCGGTTGACAACAGAAGGCCGACTTAATTTCAAGCGCTTAAATCCAGTTACCGGGGCTCAGGTAGTGAAAATGAGAACTGACGAATTGTCATGGAAGAAAAGGGACAATCTCTTCAACTTACTGCGATGTTGGTAAGTTTAGACCAGTTGGGCGCGAGATAGAACTCGAGACCCTCGAAGGCGCCCTCAAGGGTCAAGCTGCGAATCAGCAATATCAGAAGCAACACGTACGGACTGGTGGCGGTGATGTTCATTATCTGTGGGGTAGTGTGAAGGTGGAAAACAATGGTATAATCAAGACATTTACATGCCGGCAGTCAACTTCGTTGTGGTGAATTTCATTTTATGTCAAAGAGTATAATATAGGTGTGTTAGGATTACCATTAAACACAAGATACTACTGATTTTGAGTCAAGTAGCATATATTGCGTTGGCAGCTTAGAAAGATTTGATAGCGAGATGTGTCAGGCAGCCGCGCATGTCACTTGTAATTTATATTAGAATATACGACGCTACTTAAATCCGTTGTGAGTAGGCTTCGAGACAATCAGTGGATCCTGTATAAAAACTTAAGTGCTCATAGTTTTATTGTGCAAATGCTATTTTGTTGATTCTCAGCTCTGTGAGCCACCGAAAGACTCAAGCTCGATTCCCGTCAGGTCGAACCTGTGAAGTTCTTTGTGGATGCAAAAAGATGTGAAATGCATTAGTATCAAGAGGACTATGGATTTCCTCGTATAAGACACATCTATCCTTTCTTACACCACCTTCGGAAACCCAAAGAAATTCAGATTCTTTTTTACGTTTTGCAAACTTTTATCTTATATGAAAGGGCAAGGTCAAGATATTTGATTTTCGTTGTTCTGCAGCCGTTTGGCCTCAATGCAACCTTCAGGCTGACGCAGTAGACGAGAGCTCCTCCCTCATTTCGGGCGAAAACGGGCTGAGCTTTCTTCCATCACACGACAGACGTAATCAGAGCTGGAACTCATTCTTTTGAGAAGTCTCAAGTTGACACAAAGTCAAGAGGACTGACCGACTCTTTCCTACTCATAACGAGAAGACAAATAAAGCTATAGATGGATATAGAAAACTTTAATTAATTTTCTTGTACTCTTTCTATTTCCATATTTACATACATTTTTTTCTCGTTATGAGTATATCTATCAAGTAGCAAAGAGTCGGTCAGTCGTCTTGATTTTGTATAAACTTGAGACCTTTGCAGGAATGAGCCCCATCTGTGAGGCTGTCTATTGCATGCTTTACGATATCTGCGCCCAATTTAGTCTAAACTAGGGCTCAGGTCTCGTGGATTGCGTCAACTTCAATGTGGTAGCAATTTCCAACGGTTGCCATACAACGTGAATCAGCCGTTGTATTCTGGTGAGATCAGCCTTCAATTCGCTTCATCATGCACTTTCATACGAAATGAAAGTGGCCAGAATGCTTCGACGAGTAGGCTTACCTTGCCAGTGGTTTTGATGCCCTTGCAGATGCAGAGAAAAACCAAAATCCAGGCAAGCAAAAGACAAAGCGACAACTCCAATCGCAGAGAGCCCGGTTCGTCAATACCATTGGAGAGTCCAAGTACTCGGTTTCTGGGGGTAGAGAGTGGAATGTACAGAAGGCATAATTTAGGAAATCAGATGCTGAAATGCATTAGATTTGCCTACGAGAAGAGGTTAACAAAAGTATGTTCCCATCCGAGGGGCAAGTGCTTTGGACCTGGAGGATGCGATCTCGATCACGTTTGTAGAGGAAGAGATGGTCAACTTGAGCAAAACCTTCTCACTTCTCTGCTTAGGAGAAGGCATTTTAGAGATGCATTCTCCAATTTAGCCTCACTTTTCCGTAAAAATGTAAATTTTCTCTTATATTCCGCATTGTTCCCCAACTTCTATTCCAACCGGCGGCTGCAAGAGAAGGGATAGACACTTTGCTAAGCATAACTCGAAGTATGAGACTCACTTTGCGTCACAAATCATTTAGCTTTAAAGTGAAATTAGTTCCCAGTTGGCAGTGAACATGTCAAGATTCACCATTTTTGTATGTTTTATAAGGATGAAGTTCAGTTATAGCTTAAATTAAGTGCACTGAATGGGCCTTATATATATATATATATACCACATTCGGATTGACACCATACATGAGACCTCCGCCCTAGTTTCTATGACATTGGGATGAGATTTCGTCTAGCATACCATGGACAACCTCACGGATGAGGATTGTTATCGCAAAGGTCTCAAGTTTACACTAAACCAAAAAGACTTATCGACTCTTTTATACTTGATATATATACTCAAAATGAGAGAAAATATTTAAGTAGAAATGAAAATATAAAAAGTATAAGAAAATTAATCAAGTCTTTCTACATCCATCTATATCTTTATTCTTCTCCCTCGTTTCGGGATTAAGCGGGCTGAGCTGTCGTCCATCACATAACGGACATTTTCAGAGCTTGAACACATTTTTGTAAAGTCTCAAGTAAAAACTTTCTCAATAAGACTGACATTAGACTTTGTAATAAGTTTGATTTAGGACAAATATTGTTTACAGACGTTAACATACACACAAACACAAATAAAAATTCAAG